GAGAAGAGTAACCCAGAATGGTAACAATGGTAGTACTAGTACTACTACTTCTACTATAGCAAAAACAACAAAACGACTAGCAACTATTACTATTATAACTGGAGTAATTCTTACTACAACTGGTATTACTGCTACTGCAACTATCTTTGCCACACTATCGCAATACAAACGGATCAAACTATAATTTCTTAAAAACAAATGTAAATGTTATTAGAATGTTATGAATTAACTTCGCACTCAGATTGATAAAGTTCATTAATAAGTTACAAGTCTCACCCAAGTCTAGTCTGATTCATGTGTTATTATACACTGTTAAGTCTCAGGAAAGTCGGTAAGTCTCTAAAGAAAAAAATAAAAGGGGTATACTGCAATACAAATGTAATATTGTAATACAAGTTCCAGGCATATGTAAACATGAATGTTAAGTATCAGATAATTAGAATATAAAAGTGAAGGTAAATCGGAGTGCTCCTGAGTCTGAAATGAGTTGCCGGTTTTTCCTTTCCTGAGTGGATATATAACAAAAGTGTTTTTATCACTCCAATAGTCATCTGAAGCCTTTGCATCTGAACAGTGACTTTACTGTGAGGCATATGGTCATATGTGAATGGGAATAGCAATGTTCTCATTTTTAAGGAAGTATAGGTAAACTAATGAACAACTAGAGAACTGAAGTGATTAGTTCGAAATGTAATACTGTTTGATGAAAGGCAGTGCTGCCAATTTAGCGTATTTCTTTAAGTTTTCTTATTACTAGTGGGACAGATTCCACTTTCAATAGCATTAGTTGGCCCAGGGATGTATACGATAGCTTTCAAACAAGCTAACAAGTATACTATTACCGTGTTCGTCAACCTTATATGTTTAATTCATATGCATAATTTTGTACTTTTCTGTATCAACATAATGTTAAATTCAACATTATCCTGCATTATGTTGATTCTGACTGCCCATGTTGTTCCTCTTATTGGTCGAAAGGCAAGTGTAATACACTTGTAGACAGTGTTCTACCACTCACACTGGTCATCCGTCTACCCTTTATTATGCATGCATGTAAAATAATTCCTTAGTAAGGGCAAAGCGTCAAAGCGTCGTTATTCTATATATGGTTGACTTATTAGACGGATAAAAAAAAAAAAATGAAAATGTCCCTCCGGCCCTGAAACCCTTGTCAAAAGTCAAAGCACCAAGTTTTTACCGGTGTATTGTAACGTTCAACTTCATGTTACTGTAGATGCTCACACATTCTACGACAGCATATGGGTCGTTTATTGAAACAAATCATAGTTTTAAGGATCTAGCGGGTATTCGAAGCTCGTCTAGCGGGAAACTAAAGATACATTCGGCAAGAAAGAGGAAACATGATCTGAATTAAATTCAACATCCAACAATTATATATATATATATATATATATATATAATATATATATATATATATATATATATATACACACAAACACGTGTATATCAGTATTAATACCTTCAACGTGTTTCACTTTAAATCCTCAACAGAGATATTGATAATTTCTTTATCGCTGAAGTTATTGCAAGAAATAAAATAGTTGGCAACTCACCCCGGACTCTGGATTACTCCGATTCGCCAAGTCACGTTGGTGAAAAAAAAGAAATGTAATGATTGCAGTGTGACAATAAAACAGGTGAAACAAATATATGTAAAATTAATGAATATAAATAGAAATATAAACTACATTATTATTATTATTATTGTTATTATTTTTAATCACAGAAGAGACTTGAATTCGACATCTCCATAGGCTTTGGTGAGTGGGCCAAATGAGCTTCTGATTCGTTTAGATTAGTTTGGATCAGACTAGATTTAAATGAGTTTAAATTAGATTAGGTCTAAATGAGTTTAGATTAGATTATATTTAAATGAGTTTAAATTAGATTTAAATGAGTAGGTTACATTGGATTAGACTAGATTTTTGTTTAGATTAGATCTAGATTATTTAAGATTGGTTTATATATCTAAATTAGATTAGATTTAGAATACGAAGGCCGTTCCAAAAGTAATGCCCCCTATTTTTTTTTTTTTTTTACTCTGTCACAAGGGATTCGAGGAGATTGCTTGTGCGATTTACCACTCACACCTCTGACGCCACTCCGGAATTGAAGAACCCATCTCATATCGAAAATGAGCGCAAATGTTCAGTTACTTAAACAATGTAACAAGCAATCTCCTCAGATCCCTTGTGGCGGAGTAAAAAAAAAAAAAAAAAAAAAAAAAAGGAAAAAAAGTAGGCATTACTTTTGGAACGAGCCTAGTATTCTAAATCTAATATAAACCAATCTAATCTAAATCTAGTCTAAACTAATCAAAATCTAGTCTAATCCATATGTAACCTTCTCATTTAAATCTAATCT